GAGAGAGAGAGAGAGGAGAGAGAGCCAGGAGGATGAGCGAGGAGAGACAGCCAGGAGAGAGAGGAGAGATAGCCAGGAGGATGAGCGAGGAGAGACAGCCAGTAGAGAGAGAGAGGAGAGAGACAGCCAGGAGAGAGCGAGGGAGGTTTTTTGTTTTTGTTTGGTGGGTCTCATTGAGCACGTCATTTAAAAAGTAAATCCCAACACAAAGAATTGTGGGCACCCCTGTTGTACATTATTCATCCAAGGCTCAGGGATCTGTTCATAGGCTTTCAGTGAAAACAATAGATCCCTGGTCAGATCTCCCAGTTTTCTTGCAGCATAGAAGCTCCCTTGAAATACCATCGATTATTTTATTTTTTTGGTATCACATGCTTGCTTTGGAAGTCCCACTGCAGCAAGATATGAACTTTTCAAAACGTGTCTATTGAACTACAGTTTGTGCGAGAGGTCACAGAAAATGCTTCTTTTACAGTTAGCGCCTTGGAGCCTCTGGCCTTTAAAACACAGTCAAAGAACCGACCCCTCAGGGGGAGCCATAAAACATGGCCGCTGGAAATAGAGGGCCATGTTTAAACATCTCGACACCCGCAGTATAATTGATGAAGTGCTCTGGGAAGGTTTGCGAGTCTGTCGAATTCCCCTCCCAAAATAACATTTATGTTCAATAAAGGATGTCAACGGAGGGATGGAGAGTTCGGTTTCGGGTGGATGTGAATTTCCTAAAGCCTTTTTCAGGGGGGTCTCTGCAAATAAACATTTTAAACTGTCCCCCCCTCCCCCCCTCCCTTTCCTTTCTTTAAAGCTGAACTCCAAACAGCTAAATACACAGATTAAATAAATATATGGGAGCTGTTTTACCTGCCAAAGGATCTGTAATTCTGTCCATCCAATCCTGAGATTTACACAGCCCCCTCACACAACCAAGTGAATGACACCACCTGCAGGTATGGAATAGAGTGGGGTCCTCCTTCCACCGCCAGCCTGCTGAGTGGACAGTGAAAGAGCAGTAGCAGCAGCAGAGTGATCGGGTAATTCTCCTGCTTACTTTACTCTCTGCTCCTATCAGCATGTTGCTTCTCCACGCAATTGCATGAGCACCCCTGACTCCCTCGCAGCCCTGCCCCTTCCTCTCTCAGTTTGAATCCTGCAAAAAGCTGATACTAGGTCAAATTCAGGTACTTATACTGCTTTATTTTTTTTTAAAAATACATTTTATGCTTTATTAAAAATACCTAGCTGTATTAATTGCCTTTTATAGAGCAGGGGTGGGCAACTCCAGCTCCCCAGCTGTGCTATAACTACAAATCCCATGATGCATCTGTCTGGGAGTCGTGGCTGTGAGAAATCTTGCAATCATGGGATTAGTAGTTCCGCAACAGCTAGAAGACTGGAGTTTGCTCAACCCTGGCCAAGAGCTTAGCTTTATCTCTTCCTAGTGTATAGATATAAGAGAAAGGGTAGAAGATCTGATTGCTGCCCCCGTGGACAGATATCCCTCCACCCAACACCACAATGGAGAACCTATCTCAGAGGAACAATAGAGATCCTGGATGATGGCTTCCACCCAGACTCCCTGCCCCGCATGACAGCTGTCTGTACGGGTTGGAGACATGCCACAAGCATATGATTACTGTTTTCTGAAGACAATTATCGTAACAATATTGATATCCTTCTCCCTCTAGATCCTTCTATCCTCACCTATGGCCATGATTTACATACCATGCAAAGCTGCAAGCTTAAGCCAAAAAAATAACATGCACTGGGGGATTACTAGGCTTGGGATCCCTGGCAAGGTGAGGAGTGCAGCACTGCACTAGCACCTTGGAGTAAAGCCCCAAAGAGGTACCAAATAGGGTGGCCTGGGCATCTTACATGGATGTCCCCTGGTAATTTCCCCCAATATGCAGTGCTTCAAACATGGAAGGCATTGCAGGGCAGACCCAGTACATGCTGAAAGGCTGATATTTCCTAATGGACGGGGACTCCTTTACATAACCTATGTCTCACCATTGGCCAGGGAACCCCATTTCATGACTTATATATCCCCACAGTCAAGGGATCCTGATTCAGTGGTTTATATCTACACACGGGCCAGAGAACCCCTTGCAGTGACTTATATCTGTCCATGGGCCAGGGAACCCTTTTACATGGCCTTTGCTCCCCACTGGCCATGAAATTCCTTTACATGACTTAAATGTTCCCACTGACCAGGGAATCTCTTTAAATGGCTTATATCTCCCCATGAGCCAGGGATCCCATTTAAATTGATTGTATCTCCCCTCTTGCAATGGCATCTATCTCCCCACTGGCCAGGGATCCCCTTGCAATGGCTCTTATCTCCCCACTGACCAAGGATCCCCTTGCAATGGCTTCTATCTCCCCATTGGCCTAGGATCCTCTTGCAATGGCTTCTATCTCCCCACTGGCCAGGGATCCCCTTGCAATGGCTTCTATCTCCTCATTGGTCTAGGATCCCCTCGCAATGGCTTCTGTCTCCCCACTGGCCAAGGATCCCCTTGCAATGGCTTCTGTCTCCTCATTGCTCTAGGATCCCCTTGCAATGGCTTCTATCTCCCCACTGGCCAAGGATCCTCTTGCAATGGCTTCTATCTCCCCACTGGCCAGGGATCCCCTTGCAATGGCTTCTATCTCCTCATTGGTCTAGGATCCGCTCGCAATGGCTTCTGTCTCCCCACTGGCCAAGGATCCTCTTGCAATGGCTTCTGTCTCCCCACTGGCCAAGGATCCCCTTGCAATGGCTTCTGTCTCCCCACTGGCCAAGGATCCCCTTGCAATGACTTCTAGCTGCCCACTGGCCAAGTATTCCCTTGCAATGGCGTCTGTCTCCAATGGGCCATGGAACCCCTTAAAAGCTGGCCTCCAGGCAAATGTTTAGTAATACATCGTTGAATTTATTTTTTAAATGGAAGCAGTTTCAGTAGCTGAATTTGAGCTGATATAAGCCTCCCTTTTGAGCATGGCAAGAATGTGAGAAGAAGAAGCAGCACAAGGAACCATCAGTGCTCACAAGAAGCATGCTGTTAGGAGGAGAAAGCAGAATGACAGAGAGATGAGCTCATCACTGCACTGCTTCTCTTTTCACTGTCCAGTCACAGGCTGGGGCATATTCAGGATGACCTGTACTCAGAGGATCTGGGTTGAATTATGCTGGTCATATGACCGAGGACATCTAGCGGCAAACCTACTGCTGTGGCAACTTCTGGATCGAAGCTGAATATTGCTGCAAAAGTTGTTTATCTTTTTAATGGGCTATTTATTTTGCAATTTTTTTTAGATCATGAAATGACAAGAATCTCCGCATGGTCGTGGAAAACACTTTAAATAGCTTATACCAGGGGTGGGCAACTCACGCCATTGAGCTGTTGTGAAACTACAAGTCCCATGAGGCATTGCAAGACTGATAGCTACAAGCATGACTCCAGGAGGAAAGGCATGTTGGGATTTGTAGTTAAAGCACAGCTAGAGGGCCGGAGTTTCCCGCCTCTGGCTTACATTTAGGCAACAAAGGCTTATATCTTCTCCAGGACCAGGGAACCCCTTGAAATGGCCAATGAAAAGGCGGCTTTTGGAGTCAGGCTAAGGAAACCTGCCTACTGAGCCTAACACCAACCCAATCCCTCTCCCCTTTCCCTAATGCCAGTTCAGGACCAGGCATCTGGAAAACGACTATGGTGAATATATGGGAGCAGCCGGCATAACAGCGGCCTCCACAATGAGTCAGACATTTTGTCTCGGGTCAGCCATATTTATGCCAGACGCGCTCTGCGCCGTGACAGCGATCAAGCCTATTCTCTTCACAGGCAGAGTGTCCTCACCTAAACCCTATTTTATAGAGCTGAGTACATTTTCCGTTCTGTCTGTGCCATTGATGTGGCTTCAAACGCAGATTGGAAATAAATTAAGTTAAAGGTTTATTCAGCTTGGTTGCAAATGACAGCACGATCGCCTCTCTTTTCAGTTTTACTAGAATCCAGGGAAATCGGCGGCGGCAGATGCACAGTGCGTACAGCACCGCCAGAGCCGCCAGCTGCCTCTGAACGGCTGACAGCAGTAAACTTAAAGGGAAAACATTGTGCACTCGGGTACTTCGTATTGTGAGCTGTTGCTGAGCTATAACATGATCTATTCCACCTGTTTGCTGTGCCACATTTTCCAAAGTCGTATCTGTGCTCAAAGAATCAATATAAAAAAGATATAAATAAAATTATTAACATTAAAAGTAGATGTAAACCCCAACTAGATGATATTAAGGGCCCATTCATACCATATAGGCATTATGCACATGCTGGTGTGAGTTGTGCATGGGGACTATGTTCTTGAAACACATGCCCCATCCAAGGACACTCAGAAATGTTTATTTTTGGATCACCATGGCCAATGCTGAAATATGTAGCATGACTTGCTTCCACTAGGCGATGACTAGACATTTTAAAAGGCTTGATGTATGAATCATTTGTTACCCTCCTGGTAACAAATAAGAGCGTCTGTTCTATACTCTGCCCTGCTAACCGGAAAAGCAGCAGCTAATTGGCTGACGGGAAGATAAAAGGGAGGTAAGCGCCACAGTCACACATCTCGCACGAGCCCCCAATTCGCCGATACCATTCCCATTACTCACTTTCCCTGGTGTTCCTGCAGGACCTGGTAGATGCTAATCTGGAAGGTCTCGTTGTCAAACCTCTCCCGAATATAATCTTTGTATATCCTAAATTCGGCTGCCGTTACTGCCTCTCCTTCGGGAATTTTGACCAGGTCAAACCGGAACTCTCGGTGGTGGCGTCTTCGGTGAAAGAACTCCTTGTCGTGTTCCACTGAAAGAGCAAACACAAGAGATTGGACTTTTATTACCTTCTCCGTGTGTTAACCAACAAGCTTACAAAATACAATCGTTTTTTTTTCTTTAACTGAACATAAATTTCACAATTTGCTGCTACCCATCATGCGATACATCTGCACATTTAAATAGGCCTTAGAGGTTTCCCATTTGATGCCCCTGAATTGTAACACGTACTTCAGAGGCTAGAAAGTTAATGTGCATCCACAGGAAAAGCTTTTTTTTAACTTTTGGATGAAGGGCGGATGGGTTAGAACCTTTGTCAGGTTTTATTGCCATCTGTGTCCTTCCAGGGGAGATTCACCATCTCTGTTTGTCCTGGTGACCACTGTCTCCAGTACAGGAAGTGATGGGAATCCAACAATCCAACCAGAACAGGAGGTGAGAGGAAATCTAACAATCGTGACACCAGTTTTGGTGACAACCGTCTACGAGGTGACTTCTCCACACTTTAGAGATTTCCATTTGCTTCCTCTTGTGTCTCCATGTCATAAAGTGTGTGGGGGGGGAATCTCCCAACCGGACAGAGGTGGCAATTTTAACCAGACCTGTTCTAACCCTTCCACACTCCAAAAACTAAACACATTAATAAATACAAAACAGCTGGAGATACACGTTAAGATTTCTTAAGTTGCAGTAAATTGTATCAATATTTTAAATTAACTTGAATGGAGCAGGCTCTGGGCTTGTCACCCCAATGTGGGTTCACCATTTGATGAGTCAATGACCTGGGACAAGCAAAAAGTCTATATTTCTCTGGCTGTAGATATACGGACAAACATACCCAGTCATTATATATCCTTGCTCGGTACCACTAATATATATCCTGCTCCATTGAGGAGCATAGGGCTGGATTGTAAGACTTCCACTGTTGACGGTTCCCAGCCTTGGATTTGACCTGCAACCAGGTCAGGTTCATGTCAACAGCCATGATATCCTCATATAGGCTTCACCGCCAGGAGCCTCTGGTTCTGCCTCTCCTGCGCTATCCTTGGTGATTCCAATTAAGCGCCTGTCTATAGATTTCATTTGCGCCCTTTCGTAAGGTATGTCCAATACATTCACGCTCTCGCATGTCTGTTGCAATCGGTCTTTGGTGACACTGCCAGAGAAGCTCTACACTAGTGATCCAATTTTGCCTTGCCCAGTAATTTGGCGCAAAAACTTATCTCGAAACAAGTCCACAGGGACCCGCAGATGAGATACGATAGTCAGGGGCCATTCACAGCATTGCATTGTGGTAAAGAGTGGTAACACCCGTTCAGTGTCCCATTGCAAATCCACAATGCACTTGTGTTGTAGCGCACTGCAGGCTAATGCACTAGAGCGCGTTTTGGCGTGCTGCACTGGAAAATAAAATTCTGCTGGTGAGTGGTGTGTGGGCCGACCATTCCAAAATAAATTGTCTGCCCCATTGCAATGCACATGAATGGGTGACACAATACACATTAATGTGTGTGCCCTAATGCAAAGCACTAAACCTGACAGGTGTGAAGCAAACCCTTACCTGATTGGCTGTTTTTTATCACATTACCATGTATGCTGAGTGGAAATTTTAGAGGACAACTGTGATTAGAATCTTAAATATCTATAATGTTTAGCGCCCGACAAAGCTGCCTCCAAAGGCTAAGCAGGAACAGTGAAGGCTATGTGTGTTCAATACTCTGCTGGCAGACTCAGCTGTCTGATAATGCCTGCATACGCGCCAGCCCTCTATCTATGGGCCCCTATGGCTCAGATCGGAGCCTGCCAGGTGTTTTATTCTTTTGACTGATAGTCACCAAGGATGCTGCTAACACTGTCCTGCATAGAAACCAGTACTAGAGGGACTTAGCAAACTTGCACATCATATCTAAGTGTCGTGCCACAAACAAGGAAAACGTCGAAGATAAGAACTTTATAATAATTACTTATCCCTTTTAGATTGTAAGTCCTCAGGGGCAGGGAACTCCTTACAACCTTAGGACATACCTTATGTTGCCGGGTGAACGTCCCCCTCCTTGCTGATGTCCATCACCAAGATGGCCGCCGGCAGGTATCACAAAGATGTGTGATGACGTCACGGCGGGGTGTCACCTGGTATCTGCTCCGGCTGACACCCGGCCTCGGGAAACCCCTGCCCCCCACCCCCGCTTTAGGTCCGGCACGATTTTTAGGGGGGACCCCAACGGCAAAAAAAAAAAAAGCACGGGTCCCAACCAACATACCTTACCAGACCCTTAAACCGAGGAGCTGGGCGAGGGACATGACCTGTAAGTGTTACTGAACTGATTGTAAGCCCTCAGGGGCATGGCTCTCCTTACCATTGTGTCTTGTATTGTGATTGTAATGTCTTCCTTATATTGTAAAGCGCTGCGCAAACTGTTGGCGCTATATAAATCCTGTATAATAAAACTAAAAAATGAAGGACCCATCAAATACTTCAAGGAGGCCTCTCCTGAAAGAAGTCTTGAAGCCTCTCCTTGAAGGCTTCCATTTCTAATTCCTCAATCTGAAAATGCTAGTTGCATGACCTTCTTTATTATTTTGGCTTTCCTGCTAAGCATCCTTGTCCTTGGTTGGTGACTCATCAAGTCCTGGCAAATGGCATTTTCAGAAGGCAGCAACGGCACCCCCTGTATCTCTCTCAGGAAGCATGTATCATAAATGTATGAAAAATACACGCAGGGCTGCCCTTTAAACCCAGGCTCGCTAATGGCCCGTGTGAATTAAAGTGTAACGGGTTAATTACGCAATCTTCTTCCAAGCGGCCCTATTAACCCGCTCCGCCTGTCCCGCCTAGCATGCATGCCATGACTCAAGTCCCCCATAATGACCAGATGTCAAAAGAAAACTTCTGTAATCGGGGAGCTTTCAATGTAAATTAAACACTTAAACCTCAGCACATGTGTGTTTCTTAAGCAAACAATCAAATCTTTGTAAACGGAGAGAAAACACAGGATGGATTCAATTAAGCCCCTCGAGCCGTATGGGGGGCGGGGGGGGCAGCGGTTGGGAACCTTTTCTTTTTTCCAAAGATTAATCGCTACCCATTACCGCTCGTAAGTAACAAGACATCCCTGAACGTATGAAACTTCAATATTCGGGTCCAGGCAGAAAGTGGAAAAAAAATGTTAACTTTTTTTCAGATATAGGGCCACAGCTGGTTTTGAGCATCTCAGAAGTAAATGAAATCAAAATGAGAAGTTCTAATCCGTCCCGGGGTCTGGATTCCACCATCCTGAAATCATTACGCATTAAGGGGCAGGTGCAAGTCTTGTATAAAAGGTTTGTTCGGTTTGACATAATCCTCCGAGATTCGTATCTCCGACACAGAAATCAAAGCCGGCTCGCTACACATGAGCACGTTCCAGCACTCGGATGAAGAGAAGGCGGTCAAGAGCTTTCAAGCGTTCTGAAATTTGTACTGCCGACTCTTTGTGGCCTGTGTTTAAAAGAAGACCTTTCTTTTAGTAGTCCCTCTTCTGCAATCCCCATCTGTAGACAATATCTGGATCTCTCCGGTGAAGGAGAACCCCCCCAGAGACCTAGGTGAGGTCAGCACCTAATTTATGGATAGGGCAGAGGTTGGGACGTCAGTCCCAGGTGGACTACAGCTGAGGGGTCATAACTGGGACCGTGAGCAATATGCACATAATATACAACCTAAGACCAATGACAACGTGGAGGTGCAGAAGCAGAGTTTTAGAATATAACCCAGACATATTGAATGATGTTTGGTGGATATGTGAAAAATACAACACTGAGAATGTTGCCTATCCATTCACTAGAGACTGGTGACATCACTGAGAATGCAGCCTATCCATTCACTAGAGACTGGTGACATCACTGAGAATGCAGCCTATCCATTCACTAGGGACCGGTGACATCACTGAGAATGCAGCCTATCCATTCACTAGAGACCGGTGACATCACTGAGAATGCAGCCTATCCATTCTCTAGGGACCGGTGACACCACTGAGAATTCCGCTATTGTGTTCTCTGTTAACATAGAGTTTATCCCCCCAAAAATCTGTAGCCGCCGTTCTCTTTCCCATCAACAAAACATACCTCTGACATGCATAATATTTGCTTTACACAGAAGACGCGTTCTGCAAAACAAAAGCTGTTTTCATAATCAGAAATTCTTTCGAATAACATTCCCGGTGTGAACGCAGATTTGCCAGAGCGTGTTACACCGCTCCGAGTGCCATGCTCCCGCTGCGTGTCGGGACGAGTACACAGGACATGCCTTCCTCACACTCCTGACCTTGGCAGCCCAAGACTTGAGTTACGTAACACTCCTCTACAGCAGGTTCCTCTAGGTCCACATACCAGAGTTCTGACGTACCCGCTGCTAATTACGGGGGAACACGAACGCCGGGCCCCTTCCAATGTTTTGAGGTCGCAGTTAAAATCATTTTAATTGTCGAAGAAAAGAGTGCGCAAGCAAGTCATAAACTGTTTTGTGTGATCACATAGGAACACAAACCCTTCACACTTGGACACGTCGGTATAATTAAATACACCTTTCAGTAACTTTGCAAGTCCGCCTGAACAAATTCCCCGATTGGATGATTCTTTTTACATTGCTATATTTTATCATTCAAACAATGAGGGCCCATTCACACCACATCCAGATCATCTCCAGACCAGACCAGATTGCTTCCGGACCCAAAGTGCATCCTAATGTATCCCTCTGCTATTTCTGGCCTTTGTTCTCACCAGAGCAGTCTGTTCCAGACCTGAAAAATACTGCACGTCTCATTTTGTCTGGTCTGGAATGCACTGGAAATGGGGGCAGGTTCACACCATTTTGCGGACCAGATCTGGTGTGAACCTGCCCTTAAGCTGAGATAATGCCATCAGGCTGCTTCAGGCAGGAGAAAGCCTTTCCTTAGGTTCCTCAGATCACATAGGCTGTACACTGTAACTTTGTTGCAAGTTACAACGTAAAAAGGCTGCAGCAGGGGCTGATCTGTGCCAAACATTTGTGCC